GCATCAACGTGAGGGGCGGGAAATGTTCTCATGCAGTGGTTGGGGCGATATACAGGGGATGCGGAATTAATCAAAGGTATTTATGTCCTATCGCTCGTAAGGATGATGTGAAACAATAAGCAACAAGTATTTTAAAATGAATGGGGGTCACTGGATTCTCGTTCATAGATCTGAGGGTTATTTTCATTTAATCTTTGGTTGGGTTGTGTCCCTTAAATCTTTGGTTGGGTTGTGTCCCTTAAATCTTTGGTTGGGTTGTGTCCCTTAAATCTATGGTTGGGTTGTGTCCCTTAAATCTTTGGTTGGGTTGTGTCCCTTAAATCTTTGGTTGGGTTGTGTCCCTTAAATCTTTGGTTGGGTTGTGTCCCTTGAATCTTTGGTTGGGTTGTGTCCCTTGAATCTTTGGTTGGGTTGTGTCCCTTAAATCTTTGGTTGGGTTGTGTCCCTTAAATCTATGGTTGGGTTGTGTCCCTTAAATCTATGGTTGGGTTGTGTCCCTTAAATCTATGGTTGGGTTGTGTCCCTTAAATCTATGGTTGGGTTGTGTCCCTTAAATCTATGGTTGGGTTGTGTCCCTTAAATCTATGGTTGGGTTGTGTCCCTTAAATCTATGGTTGGGTTGTGTCCCTTAAATCTATGGTTGGGTTGTGTCCCTTAAATCTATGGTTGGGTTGTGTCCCTTAAATCTATGGTTGGGTTGTGTCCCTTAAATCTATGGTTTGGTTGTGTCCCTTAAATCTTTGGTTTGGTTGTGTCCCTTAAATCTTTGGTTTGGTAGTGTCCCTTAAATCTTTGGTTGGGTTGTGCCCCTTAAATCTTTGGTTGGTTTGTGTCCCTTAAATCTTTGGTTGGGTTGTGTCCTTTAAATCTTTGGTAGGGTTGTGTCCCTTGGTTCTTTGGTTGGGTTGCGTCCCTTAAATCTATGGTTGGGTTGCGTCCCTTAAATCTATGGTTGGGTTGTGTCCCTTAAATCTTTGGTTGGTTTGCGTCCCTTAAATCTTTGATTGGTTTGTGTCCCTTAAATCTTTGGTTGGGTTGCGTCCCTTAAATCTATGGTTGGGTTGCGTCCCTTAAATCAATGGTTGGGTTGTGTCCCTTGGTTCTTTGGTTGGGTTGTGCCCCTTAAATCTTTGGTTGGGTTGTGTCCCTTAAATCTTTGGTTGGGTTGTGTCCCTTAAATCTTTGGTTGGGTTGTGTCCCTTAAATCTTTGGTTGGGTTGTGTCCCTTAAATCTATGGTTGGGTTGTGTCCCTTAAATCTATGGTTGGGTTGTGTCCCTTAAATCTATGGTTGGGTTGTGTCCCTTAAATCTATGGTTGGGTTGTGTCCCTTAAATCTATGGTTGGGTTGTGTCCCTTAAATCTATGGTTGGGTTGTGTCCCTTAAATCTATGGTTGGGTTGTGTCCCTTAAATCTATGGTTGGGTTGTGTCCCTTAAATCTATGGTTTGGTTGTGTCCCTTAAATCTTTGGTTTGGTTGTGTCCCTTAAATCTTTGGTTGGGTTGTGTCCCTTAAATCTTTGGTTGGGTTGTGCCCCTTAAATCTTTGGTTGGTTTGTGTCCCTTAAATCTTTGGTTGGGTTGTGTCCTTTAAATCTTTGGTAGGGTTGTGTCCCTTGGTTCTTTGGTTGGGTTGCGTCCCTTAAATCTATGGTTGGGTTGCGTCCCTTAAATCTATGGTTGGGTTGTGTCCCTTAAATCTTTGGTTGGGTTGTGTCCCTTAAATCTTTGACCCCTACTACACGTGACAACTTTTAGCCCCCCCCCCATGTGTCCTGTACATATATGTGACCGACCCACTACAGCATGTGTGTGGGATTGTGAGGCTGCCGTCAGTAGTTACGTAATGTAAACAAATCCAACAAGTAAACAAATCCAACAAGTAAACAAATCCAACAAGTAAACAAATCCAACAAGTAAACAAATCCAACAAGTAAACAAAGAAGACAACTTCCAATGAAACAATCATAACAGAAAGTTTAATATCAAATTCTGTAGCAACTCCTCCATCTTTCAACAGAGCAAATATCAGAGATAAACAACACATGACCTAACGTTTGTCTGTTTGTCTGTCTGTCTGTCCGTCATGAAGGGTTGTAAGCACTGTACACCTACGATGAAAGAGACACCACACACTAGCACCGTGACACCACACACCATGAATGTGACACCACACACCATGAATGTGACACCACACACCATGAATGTGACACCACACACCATGAATGTGACACCACACACCATGAATGTGACACCACACACCATGAATGTGACACCACACACCATGAATGTGACACCACACACTAGCACCGTGACACCACACACCATGAATGTGACACCACACACCATGAATGTGACACCACACACCATGAATGTGACACCACACACCATGAATGTGACACCACACACCATGAATGTGACACCACACACCATGAATGTGACACCACACACCATGAATGTGACAAACGTTACGTCACTAATGGACGACCTCCAAATTATTGTCGACTTTTGACCTAAATATAGCCCTAATGTAAAGGACAATGGTGGGCACAATACAGGCAAGAAAAGATAACTCTACAAAAATACTGGCTGTGGGAATTCATAGACAACCGCCAGCGCGGACTAAGGAAAATTTTCACCTCACTTCATAGGAGTAAGGGCGATAACTGGAATAATACCTTCACTTGACAAGAGCTGACAAGAGTTACTTTTAGCAATGAGACATTTAAGTTACAAAAAATGTACATGACAAAAACAGTTTTTAAATAAATAAATTCCATTTGAGTTGCGGCAACAAAAACTCCCATAAATATGTAGAGTGTGTGACACGTGAAAATGTGACACGTGAAAATGTGACACGTGAAAATGTGACACGTGAAAATGTGACATATGAAAATAGATGTGATACAGGCACACAACAAAGTAGATTTTAATTCTAACCAACCAGCTCTTTCTAAACTTACATGACCAGCTAGATTTAACCACCTTGACCCAACCAGCGAGATTTACCCACATTGACCTAACCAGCTAGATTTAATCACATTGACCTAACCAGCTAGATTTAACCACCTTGACCTAACCAGAGTTTCTTCCAGGCATCTCTTCGGGGGGGCGAAGCCCCCCCGAAAAATTTTTACCGCCCCCCGAACGAAATGAAATTTACATAATTTATATAGAAAATATATACTTTTAACAGTGTCCGCCCCCCCGAAGAAAGTTTACCGCCCCCCCGAAAATTTCAAGTGCCCCCCCGGAGAAAAAAGTCTGGAAGAAACACTGGACCTAACCAGCTAGATTTAACCACATTGACCTAACCAGCTAGATTTAACCACCTTGCCTTAACCAATTAGCATTAACCAGGTTCTGATCCACACTAATGAGCTAAAAGATCATGTGACTTGGGCCAACAAACTAGCAATGATCTGTGTCACGTGACTTGGGCCACACACTAATGAGCTAATAGATCACGTGACTTGGGCCAACAATCTAGCAATGATCTGTGTCACGTGACTTGGGCCACACACTAATGAGCTAAAAGATCATGTGACTTGGGCCAACAAACTAGCAATGATCTGTGTCACGTGACTTGGGCCACACACTAATCAGCTAATAGATCACGTGACTTGGGCCAACAATCTAGCAATGATCTGTGTTACAGGCACCTCTTGGGAATTTCTATAGGAATATATACTTCTAACCGTGTCGTCCAACCCCCCCCCTGAAATTTAGTCCGATCCCGGACAAACAAGTCTGAAAGAAACACAGCAACAGTGAGACATGTATACAGCCCCCCCCCCCCCGCCCCTCGTAATAGAATTTATATTGTAAATATATACTGTGACCAGTGTCCACTCCACTCCACACACTCCAGTTACAAAAGTCTGAAAGAAACACAGACAGACATTAATGATGTCATCTGATTGTATCTGATCTCTGACATGATGACTGACTGATGATTTAACATAAAATCAGCAATCCTTATGTTGACTAGACCTCGCGAGTCAGCTTTTCAAAATACATTTCAGCTACAATAGAAAGTAGGAGAATGAATCTAGACCAGATCTAGACGTGACCATCCATAGACGTGACCAGGTCTAGACGTGACCAGGTCTAGACGTGACCAGGTCTAGACGTGACCAGGTCTAGACGTGACCACCTCTAGACGTGACCACCTCTAGACGTGACCGGCTCTAGGCGTGACAATGAAACGCAATAAATGACTATCAACACAATAAAAGACTATCGACACAATAAAAGACTATCGACACAATAAAAGACTATCGACACAATAAAAGACTATCGACACAATAAAAGACTATCGACACAATAAAAGACTATCGACACAATAAAAGACTAACAACACAATGAATCTATTGCACATAGTCCGTGAGTGAAATATAAATAAAAACATATCCAGTCCACCTTTATGTACAATGTAAGCCCCACGGCTAAATGAGAAATTTGTTTCACAAAATCTCAGAAACTTGGATGTCATTTCTAAGATTTCCAAAGTGTTCAAAACATGCTTACATTGATTAGAACTGAGCAATCTACAATCATTATCAGAAATGTATGTGTGAACGTTCTGGGAAATGGGGGTCAACCAGTGATGGGAAATGGGGGGTCCACCAGTGGTTGTTGACAGATGATCCCCCACTTCTGTGAGTTTATAATCCACAAGTAGATCCAGCTGTGGATTACATCCAGCTTCCAATTTATCACAAAAGCTTGTTTCTTCTGGCCAAATGAGCCTGGGCGGTGCACATCATTGGTGCACATCATTGGTGCACATCACTGCAGCACATCATTGGTGCACATCATTGGTGCACATCACTGCAGCACATCATTGGTGCACATCATTGGTGCACATCATTGGTGCACATCACTGCAGCACACCATTGGTGCACATCACTGCAGCACATCATTGGTGCACATCACTGCAGCACATCATTGGTGCACATCATTGGTGCACATCACTGCAGCACATCGTTGGTGCACATCACTGCAGCACATCATTGGTGCACATCACTGCAGCACATCATTGGTGCACATCATTGGTGCACATCATTAGTGGAAATCATTGGTGCATGTGTAGTGCACAGTTAAGATGACGAACATGAAATACAGACAGACACTATGAATGTATTCAAATAAATCTGGCGACGATTGGTGCTCACTATTTCATAAATTCTGTCCAAACTCGAGACCACGCCCCTACTGTCTCGCCCAGAATGTGAATGTTGTTTGTAATGTCATCTGTTGATTTGAAGTTGGTCGACAACTTTCAACAGTAGACAAAACCTATTGACCCATGTACGACTAGCAACTTGACCAAGATGACCCATATACGACCAGTTGCCTAGCAACATGACCCTGGCAGTGATGGGTTTCCGTTTTTGACCTGCTGTCTTGGTTCTTCTGCTCTGTTTGACTTGACCAGTATAAACTTGACCAATAGAAACTTGACCAATAGAAACTTGACCAATAGAAACTTGACCAGTAGAAACTTGACCAATAGAAACTTGACCAGTAGAAACTTGACCAGTAGAAACTTGACCAGTAGAAACTTGACCAGTAGAAACTTGACCAGTAGAAACTTGACCAGTAGAAACTTGCCGGTCCTGCTAGAGATTGACCGGAAGTGAGACTTTCTCTGTCCCCTGACTGTAGGTGACACTGGTGCTATTATTAGACTTATTGGATTTTCCCGACTTGCTGCTGGTAGGGGTGTAGGGGCGGTGCTGTGACTGCTGGGAGGAGTATGTGCTGCCGGCTGGGGCGTAGGCGGTGCCGGCTGGGGCGTAGGCGGTGCCGGCTGGGGCGTAGGCGGTGCCGGCTGGGGCGTAGGCGGTGCCGGCTGGGGTGTAGGGATCTTTGGCGTATGAATACAAAGAGCCGTGAGGGGTGGGGTAGACGGGCTGCATGGGGTAGTAGCCCTGGTGGGAGTAGGCGTGGTTGCTGAACGCGCTTGCTGCTCGTGAACCTGGGAAGGAAATAAAAACTAATTATCATGGTGCACTATGATAACGATAAAGAAAAGGTTTAAAGGTTACAATGCAACAAACGATACAGGAGCCGTCAGCTAAGATTTTTATGTTTGTGGACCCGAATATAAACTTTGAACTCTTTCCCTTGGAACTATGTTCCTAATTGTGAAAGCTACAAAAAGAGAATTGTAGAAAATACATTCTTTATTGAATTTTTTTAAAAATTAGATTAAAAATGTAATGATTTTAAATTTTGAGACAAATCTAAATGTAATTCTTTAAATTCTTTTTAAATTCTTTATTTAAAAGGGAAGTGACTCTGTTCAAACATTTCTCCTTTGCGTATTTATCGAGTTAATTCCCTTGGTATCTAAAAATACTTTTTAAGAAATAAGCCTATACTTTTAATTTAATTTTTACAAAGATCAGCAGATAATTCATTTATAATGCAAAATCTTTTTGTTTAGCTAGAAACTGCTACTATTTTAATGTTAGAGAAAAAGGTAATTATTTTTCTTTTTTTTTTTTATTATTTTGCTACTGAACGGACATAACTCTGTTAAACCATTTCTCCGTTGCGTATTAATTGAGTTAATTCCCTTAGTATAAAAAAAACTATAGTTCTAAAAAAAAAATTGTTTAAATTGCCAAATATTTCTCGATTTGTTGAGAAAAGAAATTACAAAACCCAGAGGGGAAAAAAGTTGTAAATAGCAATAGGAGAAAAAGCTAGTGAAGTTAAGGAAAAAGAGAATTATTTCTTAGCTATGTTAGAATCTATTAGTAATGCGAAAAATTGTGTAGACCAAAATAAAAACTTCTTCACTTGTCCTCAAGTATGTAGTCTTCTAGTGTGGGATGGTTGGAAATTTACTGTAATTTTTTTTTTCGAGCACCTACCTTGATAGCTGGCCACACATGGCCCTCCACCCCCCCCCCCCCCATGTAGCACCTACCTTGATAGCTGGCCACACATGGCCCTGCACCCCCCCCCCCCATGTAGCACCTACCTTGATAGCTGGCCACACATGGCCCTCCACCCCCCCCCATGTAGCACCTACCTTGATAGCTGGCCACACATGGCCCTCCACCACCCCCCCCCCATGTAGCACCTACCTTGATAGCTGGCCACACATGGCCCTCCACCACCCCCCCCCCCCCATGTAGCACCTACCTTGATAGCTGGCCACACATGGCCCTCCACCCCCCCCCCCCCCATGTAGCACCTACCTTGATAGCTGGCCACACATGGCCCTCCACCACCCCCCCCCCCGCCCCATGTAGCACCTACCTTGATAGCTGGCCACACATGGCCCTCCACCACCCCCCCCCCCCCCCGCCCCATGTAGCACCTACCTTGATAGCTGGCCACACATGGCCCTCCACCACCCCCCCCCCCCATGTAGCACCTACCTTGATAGCTGGCCACACATGGCCCTCCACCACCCCCCCCCCCCATGTAGCACCTACCTTGATAGCTGGCCACACATGGCCCTCCACCACCCCCCCCCCCCCATGTAGCACCTACCTTGATAGCTGGCCACACATGGCCCTCCACCACCCCCAGTGCCGTTGGCCACGACAGCGGTTGCTGTGGTGACGACCCCGCCGCCGCCACAGGTCGTCAGGTCCTGCGACTTGCGGCAGAGTGTGCGCCGGCAGCAGCAGACGAGGGCGACAACACACGAGACGACGATGACGATGCTGCCCACAGAGATAAAGATGGAGGCCGTCACGCCGAGTGACAGGAACTTGCACAAGATGGCGCACTCTGGGGATACAAGGGATCACGTTAGGGGGGTGACACAAGGGATCACGTTAGGAGGTGACATGTCAGATAGGGCTAAAAAAGGGCACATAAGCGCTTGAACAGTCACATTAATTTGACACAGAAGTCTTGATTGTGACAAATTATGTGTGTCACGTTTATCTTTGTTTGTCCCCATCTTGTGGCTAGCTGTCTTTAACATGCGTCGTGACACCTCACCCCACACAGTTCACCCCACACAGTTCACCCCCCTCACCTCACCCCATACAGTTCACCCCACACAGTTCACCCCCCTCACCTCACCCCATACAGTTCACCCCACACAGTTCAACCCACACAGTTCACCCCACACAGTTCACCCCCCTCACCTCACCCCATACAGTTCACCCCACACAGTTCACCCCATACAGTTCACCCCACATAGTTCAGCACACACACCTCAGCACACACACCTCACCCCACACAGTTCA